GAAAATACATTATTTGGTCTTTTTCTAGTTATTTTTTTAGTCATAATTTTTAGATTTTCTTGAATTAAATCCCATGCTAAAGCAATTCTAAAGTCTTTGCTTGATATATCCGTATCAGAAATCTTGCAATAAAGCAAAAAACAATTAACAAGTATAGTATCTAAAAGCCAAAAAAATAATGGAAACTATGTACGATGTGCAGTTAATTGACAATTATAATAGCTTCTAAGTTGGTCTGCAATATCTACTCCTCCTATATAATGATTATAATCATTAATTAGTTTTGGAATTTTTAATTCTTTTCTTACATTATCACCAAAAACCTAATGAACTTTTCTAGCATTTGTACTTGTAATGCATGGACGACGATGATTACGAGTAATTTTTCATTCATTACCAATAATTTGGTGAATAGTAGTAAGTAAATAAACTGGACCATTATCAATCCATAAAACTACTAATACATTATCAACTACCATGACAGAAAGAGTATCCCAATCTAAAACTAAAGGATTTTTAAGTTTTAATATTTTAGGAAATTTAGATGAATTGGTATGTATAGTACCACATGCTTCTAAATTATTAGTGCGCAAAAAATTAAAAAGTGGAATACTGGTGAAATAATTATCCATATATATTTGAAAGTTCTTTCTACGCAGAAGTTGCTTAGCTAAATGCCAAACTAAACAGCCTGTATCATTAATACTATTAATATGTTCTAATTCACTATTTTTTTCAACCCTTGAATAAAATACAAATGTCCATGTATAACCAGCATCACAAAGGGAAAAAATTTTATATCCCTCTGGCATTGGTTTGTTTTTTATTTTAAATGTATGCATGCTACGACCAGAAAACTGAACTATTATTTCATCAATAGAAACTCATGTACTAGGAGTATATAATTTTTTAAATGTTTTCCGAAGATTTGAAGCCAATGGTTCGATTTTTGAATACCAATAAGATTTAGGTTCAGTTGGATTAGAAATATGAAGAAATCTCTTAATTTGTTGGAATTGATACAATGACATAAATTGTTTAATATTATGAACCGCCATCTTTTTGTTAGAGTTCCATAAATCCTCAACTGCATAAATTTTGTGAACACCCATATATATAACTAATGCAATCCACACTTTTAACTCCTTTAAAGTTAATGGAACCCATACATGTCCTCCTTCATAACCCTTAATTTGCTCATACTTGTTTGTATTTTCGACAATTATTTGTAATTGTTTATTACTAAAACATAATCGAAATAGTACAATTGGACTAATGGTACCTATTTGCGTTTCATGTGGTAGTGTTGAATAACCATGATGATTAGAAAAGGTATGTAATGGCTCAAATTCAGGTAATTCTGAAAGGTTTGGTTTATTTCCAGCTTTATGACTAATTGCCTTTTTTTTTCCCTTTTTATCTGATTTACTTGCTTCACCCATATTATCATCTATTTCATTCATTATGCCTGATTTACTGGTTTCATTTAACCCACCTACCTGGCCACCTATCCTCCCACCCCTTCAGCCTTTTTTACTTTTTTCACGAGTTGCTCTAGTGTTTATTTCATTAATTTCTTCTTCACTCTCCTCAATAATTTCAATATTGGAAGCTCCTTTACAAAAATCACTAATTTCAATTGTTTGGTCTACAAGCACATTTCCGTGATGATGCTCAAAGATTGCCAAGTACTTTGAGTCAGACGCATTGTTGTTAGAAACATTATCATCGGTAATGTATGACATTTTTTTTTTCTTTTAAATTATACTTTTATTCATATTAAAAAAAAATATTTTTTTAATATATCGATATTTAATTTAAATGGCACTTCAAATGTTAGAGGTTTGTTGAACTTTATTGTTGGTACTAACGGCCAAGTGACTTTCTAGAACAATTGCTGTTGTGTATATGTACATTGTGGTACAAGATACTAGGGGGCTTTTATATAGTAAAATTTTCTGGTATTCCGGAAAATTTTTTGGTAATTTAAAATTTGGGGCAAATTTGTCCCGAATACAGACTAAGGGATAATCATCATAAAAAAAATTTACAACCTCAACATGCATCATATTCACTAGTAAATCCTTATAATACAACTGTTCAAAGCCCTAATAATAATTTACAAGGGTAAAATTTTTCAGATGAGCAATCATTAGTTAATTGGTTATGCACACAGCCAGATTTGATTACTCAAGTACAACATTTAGCAACAGTGTCTTTACCATATAAGGTTTGTTTAATTAATTATATGTACATATGTATATTAATTTAATTTATATGTAGTATATTAATTTGATGCTAAAATTGTGCAATATTATTAGACTGAAGTTAATATCTCAAAGCCAACAGATAAAGAAACCATAATAAATTTAGTAATGGAACAGTGCAAGCTTTTGTTTTTATGTATGCGAAATCCTACTAAGAAAATATGTGAAACACTAATCAAAAAGATTGTTTCATCAATGAATTCAATATCTAAAGAATTTAAAGTATTACATCAAAAAACACATGAATACTTTGATAATTTTCGACATATATTTAATAAGAATATGACAGCTCTTGCCAAGGACTTGCTAGTTAAGAACTGATATTTTACATTTAATCTTACATATTGTGTTTTATCAAGTGATAGGAGAAATGTGCATTTTATAATAATATGTGTATTAATGTGCATGAAATGTTTCATGCACATGATATCGCATAATAAAAAAAAAGCAAAAAAAAAGAAAAATGATTGAGAGGAGAAAAATCTTGATGGGATAAAATGCATATGATTCAGCAATCATGTGCATACATGAAACCCATCTCTAGTTTTATCTAATTAGTTAATGCCATGGTTGAAGCTGGAAATTTTAAATATTTTAATGAAATTTTCAAAAATTTTTGGATTGGAATTTAAGTTTAATTTTATAATAAAAGAGTGTAGCTTGATTTTGATAGGATTCATATTTTTAAATTGTGATCTCTAATTTTCAACTTCAGCCATTTTCAGCTTCAATTGTGACAGTTAATATTGTGAATTAATATTTATATTTTAACATATATATAATTGTTATCATTCTTTTTGTAGTAACCAAAAGATAAAAATATTGGACAATTTGTTGCTGGCAAAGTCTGGAAACAAAAACTTATCAAGTAGCTTGATGCTAGTGACTTCTCAGAGTTTAAAAAATCTCAGTCTTCACTCAAGTCTCTTGAAACCTTTATCACTGAAAGTTTGAAGATCCACGTCAAATATCTAATTGCAATTCGTAACCAAGAAAAACCATCCTATAGTGAAGATGTCTTGGCAAAAATTAAGAAGCTTGAT